CGGACTGGTCAGTGTTACAGAATTGAAACCGGAGGTGGCCAAGCCAACGCCAACCGCCGTTTGAGCTCGCGCTGACAGCGCTCATCCACTTCTTCGATGAACCATCTGCCCCGACGAACGAAATGATCTGAAATCTGACAAAAAAAAAGCTGCCGCAATGAGGATATATGACAGGATTTCCAATCCATGTCGACAAAGCTTGCCCGAATAAAGGACGAGGAGAGAAGGGAAAAAGTCAAAAGAAAAGGAAAAAAGGATGAATTAGAGTGAGAAAAGGAAGGGATGCGCCTGGCGGAAAGACGGGTTGCCAGGAAAGTTTTTTTCGCGCCCGTTATTGATATTCAATAGAGGTCAGATCAGCACTGCGAGCAGGTTGGTCAGTACTGCATTGAGTCGAACAATACTTGACCATTTCGCTGGTTCGCATTGATTTTTAAAGACCAGTCCATGAGCTGATTACGAGGTATTGTTAAATTTGTTGATGAACCTCTTCAGGGTGCGCCATGAATTCGACATTAACCACTCGCGACCGCGCGGGATTTTCAAGGTCTGTCCGTTTGGAAGCGCCGGATTGCGCAGTAGCAGGAGAGTCAGGAGATTTTCCTTTAATAAAACTTGAGTGGACGGAGATTTATTCTGTCCAGGATTGGCGTAGATGAATGAGGGCATGAAGACTCTTCTCAGGAAGGTATGCTTTCCAAAATCCATTTGAACCCGGCAGCCACCAGTGGGTGCCATTGTCCCGAGTGAGCACGTTCGTGACAGCCACTGGAGACTGCCATTGTCACGAATGAGTTAAAGGAATCCTTCCCTGAAAAATCATGATTCTATCTAAGCCATCAATCGACGGCTTCAGACCAATCATTTACGATAAGAACGAAAAATAAAAAATATTTAATAATCATTTAGCATTTAATTTTATAATATTTACCTCATTAATTTAATTGAATTATATTAGTAGTAATATTGATATTAATAACAATAATTTACAAGAATGCTGGGTTGTGAACAAAACTTCGCCCCAGGCGGGACTAGAACCCGCACCTGGGGCGAAAGTTTTGTTCACAACCCAGCATTCTTGTGAAACATTCGCAAGGCGAACTGCGGCCAAAACAGCAGTTAACAAACAAAAACAAAACAATAATTTAGTAATATTTAATAAATAATAAAATAAATAAAAAAGTATTAGAAAAGAATGCATGGATCTTCTGGGAAGGATAAATCTAAACGAATTGTGGCGAACTTTTAATGGCTACTGTAACCAGCGGAATATGAATCCAAGTAATTAGAGTAAAGCCAATAAATCCCTCACCACAATCAAAGGGCATCGATTAAGATCCAACCACGATCCCCATCCCCCACTACCGGTAACAATCGGAGAAAGAAGAAGAAAGTGGATCGCTGTGAGAAAATTTACTTTCCTGGGGGTTGAAGCAATAGTCCCAGCAGGGTTTTTACCTTCGACACTATTGGTGTGGAACGATGCGATAGCCCTAGTCAAGAACAGAAGAAGTGTGACTGAGCAGAAAACTCACCTTGGAAAGCCGCTAGAAAGAGAGCTGAACAGCTCCGAAGTGGGCGTGGTTGTAATCGGCCAATGAGACTGCACAACCGCGCCCACTTCGAAGCTGTTCAACACCCTTTCTAGCGGCTTTCCAGTGTGAATTTTTTGCTCAGTCACACTTCTTTTCTTGACTAGGGCTAGCACATCGTTCCACACCATTAGCATCGAAGGTGAAAACTCTGTTGGGCTGTTGCATCAATGAAAAAACCTGATATGGCTTATATATAAACAAAAGTGGCTGCGGACGACTCTCGGCTTGGCCTATTTTTCGTTCAACCGTCTCTGCTTCTGCCTTTGGTCTGGTGCTCATACACAGTGGCAGCTCACTCGAGGTACGATAAATAAATAAATCAAATAAACCCTCGCCCGTAAATGAAGCGCCTGGATTACCCGCAGCGCTTCTTTTGCTTTTTTTCCCACTTTGAAGGGCAACCCGACCTTAATTTTCAAAACATTTTGTTGAGAAACTGGAGCAGATAAACACAGCGCATGCCATTCCGCTTTCCTGCAATGCGAGACTTATTGGTGCACTTCCAAATCAAGAATATGAAAGTTCATAAAGTTGCGCGAAAAGGTTCACAAATATTCCGTTGTACTTACTTTATTGTTTCATTTATTTCATACGTCTTATAAGACATGCCGTCAGTTGTGGCGAAACACTGGCCGCATGCACCAAATTATGTAAAAGTAGAAAAAAAGAAAAAAAAACCTTATCGAAACGGAACAAAAGCAAACAATAACCCAAGCGGGCAATTAGGGAAACGGCTTCATGCAAACTTGTCCTTTCTCTCCCGAAAACCTCCAGATGTCAATGCAACTCGCCTTTTCTTTACACGGTGCAACAACTGCTGAAGCATTGCCACTGATTGAACAAGTTTAGGGATAAGCCGCGCGCTCGACATTTACAGATATTCAGCACGAGTTGCGCTTTCCATCATCGCGCGTGCAGGCTGTCGACGCTCTATTCACTGCCTGTCACGGCAAGTATGACCCCTCCCTCTCCCTCACCGAAGTTCTCTCAACGCTGCCTTGTCCCCTCTCCCGAACCTTGTGTATGACCTGGTTTGAGGTCTGACTTTTACGCCACCTCACCTTTACCTAATTCCATTTACAGGGTGTTCCATAAATACTGCCACACATTTTGAGCTTCAATTGTGTGAGTGCTGGAGTCTTTTTCCCAGAGTTGGCATACCTTCACTTCCTATAACCGCTTTTGAATAAATTTGCCAAAGTAAACGGCTTACCATTATGTAGCTGTACATCTCAATGTGCACCTAAACCTCAATAGAGGTTCCATAACCCTCATACAGCTAGGTCGGACATCCGGTGATGAACACCGCGCTTCTTTGAATTTCTAACCGCTCCTTGGCCTGAGTACTGAAGAGAAGATGAAATGAAAGTAGCCTTTATTGCGGCTACCCCACAAATTCTGACATCTTGGATCTCAGGAAAAGCATGAAGAAGTGAAACGACTAAGTGACCAGAACGCTGTAATTTTTAAACACAGACATGTAGGAGGAGTCCAGACAACAACTGCTCACAGTCCATTATAAGTTGCAGAAGCACCACTCCTCAATTCATATGGAGGAGCACAGCAGAGACAAAGAGTTCAAAGGCTGGTGTCGAGGACCAAAAATGCAAAAATGGCGCAGACAATGTCTTCGTCGACGACACAATTCCTCACATTGAACGGAGCCACAACCTTTAAGCTCCGAGGATGTCCTCATGAGGTCTTGATGAAGTCAGTGAGAGTGAAAGGAGTATTTGCCACAAGCAGCAGCCGGACCTTATCATAGTCTGGACTGGGGTCTCAACTAGTGGGCGCTCACCATCTCTGCCTGTTTACAAAAGGATGCAACTTGATACTAGACCGAGCCAAGGTACAATTCGTCGCACCATTCGTTACTAAGGAACCTAGCCACTTTGAGGAGGGGTGATGATCATTTCAGTAGCACCCAGCTTCTGCATAGGAGGCTAAAATTGTTTAGGAGCGCTGTTAAAGCACTCTTTTCGATTTCACATCCTCGAACGAATTGCTCTCTTATCCCTTGTTTCCAGCGTGCTGAAGGATCTTACGTGGGCTATGTTAGAGGGTAGAGCCTGCATAAACATTGCATCCACATGGATAAGCCGGAGCCCTTTTTGCAAAGTTTCGAAGAAGGCACTCCAGGATGCCATACGGGAAGCACCAGAGTTGTGTTCGAAGCAACCGGGAGCCATACCCACAGCGAAAGGGAGACTTATGGAATAAATGTGATCTCAAGGATGGACTAAGAAAAGTGTGGGACCACTTGAAGATGCGTCCACTTTGAGAGAAGTTACAAGTTAAGAAGCGTGTCGCAATATTTATGGAACACCGTGTAATTCTCGAGGTAGAGCAGGAAAACACAAGACCTTCATAAATGTTTATTACCGATTTATATAAGCAATCACCGACAGCAAAGCAAGTATATGAGCCGGGTTTGAAGTAGTCCACGGGATGTTTCATGAAAGGTTTTAAAGATGTGACGTAAGGAATTAGTGTGACCTCACTCACTTTACGAATTGGATCCACATATGACAAAGTGCTTTCTGGTCAACAATTGGCCATAGAGCGCATTTGATGACGAAGATCCACGAAAGAACGAAGACATGAGTAAATGAGGCAAGGTGCAAGTGACTTTTACAAAATTCAGTCGATCGTTTCAAAATGATCATTTGAATCAGTTGCATCTTACAGTAATACAGCAATAAAGAACACCAATGAACAAGTAATACGAGTTATACAAGTCGTACTGACTGATGCCGGCGTTTTGAACATGGAAGAAACACTCAAAAGGAGAAAACACAGGTAGCACGACATAAGCTGAGAGTAATATAATATACAAAAGCCGCAGGTATCCTGAGTAAGAGGTAGCGATAATAAGGAAAATAGAAAGAAATGGTCCGAAGACCTGCCTGAATCGCGTACGATTTGGGTCCGTAGACCTCCCTGAAGTAGAGAAAATTCCTGATGTAAATGTCCTGAGTATGGAAGAAATAATCACGTAAAAGAGAATCCTGAGTTGGGAAATTCCTGAGAAGAAGTAACAAGTAAGGAAGCAAAGAAATAAACAATATTGCATGAAAATACACACAAATAAACAAATAAACGAACATTGACGACTAAATTCTAGAAATGCTCTGAGTAAATAAATCATTTGCTCTAGGGAATAAGGAAAACAATGTGTTTCGGTCACCGAGGATGCGAATCATCACTGGGATTGGGTGAACGGCCGGGAATATGAACAACCATAAGAAGCGAGGGTTCTGGGCTTAAGGAGGCAGGCAACAATGTGTGAAGCAACGCTGATAAGAGGAGGCAGACGGAGCGATGTCTATCGAGACAGATTCAGGTATGAGGCAAAACGTGGGCGCAACACTGAGCGACTACAAGCGGGCTACAGTCACCCCACGATCAGGGCGACGATGCGTCATTGAAGCGTAACTCACGCTGCAACAGCGATTCGGTGTTCTTGTGCAATTGCAGAAGCGACCATGCAGATGACATCTCTGCTAAGGTTGCCGGCAGTGCCTAAAGGACCCATTGAGTACTGATAATTGATGTGATGTGTAGAAGAATCACTGAGAAGAATTCTGCTTACCTGATTCGTGAGAGTAGCACTGGCCAACGCGTGCAGACCATTTTGAAGAGTTTCAGCCAATTTCGAGTCGCTGATGTCAGCGGTGACTTTTCGATCTGTGCTGATCGGTCTTGTTTGAACGGAATGTGTGGGCTTTTCTACAGGTAAACTCAGACTCTGAAGTGTCTGCGCTACACTGCCCTCAGGCCATCCCGCTGATCGTTCACCGGCCAGCATCACACCCTCTTCGCGTGAACTCTTCGTCTTCTTTGCATGGCGTACACGACGGCATCGAGCGGCCAGCTTACGCATCGAATCGCGAAGACTCTCCCAGAAGTCGTCATCACTCGAGAATCGATCACCGAGAACTTTACGACACACATCTGGAAACAGAACCTGTCATACAGCATTTTGTGAAAGACGAGTTCAGAGGAACCATCAAAAAGTAAAGGACCAAAAATGAGCCCCGTAAAGACTGCTCTGAAGGTTTCAGATAGTATTGAGGATTTTCGAAGTGTAAATTCTTACGTTGTATGTACATGATTCCCTCGATCGGTAGATTTGGGAAAGTCGAGTGATTGAGACCAGCGACGGTAGTTTCGGCCATGAGTTTTGACCCGAACACCCGTTTTTCAGCCAATTTTTTGCACAGATGTGTCATCGATTCACGCACATCTACCTCTTCGAATCGCTTATTTTGAACCACTTGTTGCACCACTTGCTGCTCGGATACCGCTCGAAAACCTGAAAGAAAAATTAGGAAATGTGAACTCAATTTTGAATAACCTGAAAACAAGAAAAGTGTCGAGTGCAGACCACACACCATAAATGACGGCGGCCAAGAAAAAAGTGGCTTTTTCTTTTCTTTCTTCTTAGCCGTCGTCATTTGTGGTGTGTGGTCTGCACTCGACGCTCTTCTCGTTTTCCGAAGTAGAGAGTAATCACGATGTACCGCATTTCACGAGGTGCAGCACAAAACTTCCGCCAACCTTTGGGTCAGAACCCTTCCACAGACTGTGTTAGTCAGCTCCAGTGTAATATTACTTCAACCTCAGTTACTTTGATGTATACAGCTACACCTTGACGTGGTTTCTCATATCTAACAGCACCATAAATCATGTATAAAATGTAGGCCGAACGCAAATGCTATATTCCAAGCATATTCGCAGTGACTGATTGGCGAGCGACTTTGTGACATCATTGAGTCGTTGATAGGGGGGGGGGGTGTGAAGGTGTCGTTACTGTACCTACCTCGACCCGCCGTGCGCGCCGAGAAGGCTGATCCACCACCATTACGTCTGATGAAGTCCTTCAAATTACCGCCCACCCTATAGAAGTGATCACTGGCTTTTATATGAGTGCTATTCGAGAAGGGTGTAGGGCTTCCTCAGTCCAGAACCATCCTTGTAAGACCGGTACTAGGAATTTTGCACAAGCTCAGGGAAGAGAACTTCCAAAATCGCGTGTGAACAATTACTCCTACGGCCCCTTGACATGAAAGAATTTGTTCCTTACCCAGATCTCTCTCCAGTCCTGAGTGAAAAATCTTTGGAGACTGATTCCCCGCTATAATTGGTCCCGACCATCCAACCATGAACGTCGGCTGTTCGAGGGAATAAAGGTGCAAAGTTGGTGGTTTAATAACAATTCGGTCACTTCAAAATGATCTTTTTGTGCAACATCGGGATCACTGTAATCCAGCGAATTACTATACTGTAATACCCAGCCCCTTGGCTGGGATAGCGCCCTCTAATATCTTATATTTATTTTTTAATTAATATTAGGCTGACGCCGATAAAAAGCGTACAAAATGTAATCCTCCCCCAATTGTCGTCTCTATTGAGCATAAGTCTCTCACGTTGCCAGCATGCGATTTATTGATTTGGCTATAATGACAGAAACTCAAAAATTTCTTACTGGAATCAAGCTTAGAGCCTCGAACCTGGTAATTGGGAATGCAGCTATTCGTCTCCATTATCGCTTGAATTCGTTGCTCACTATGAGTTTCACATAGTCATCATCTGCTTGTTTTCTGATAAATACGCAAAATTTATGCGAACCATTTTTTTTGTTAATTTCTGAGATAAATATAAAAGAAAGGAATATACAATCGATAATACCTTCTGTGTTACGTTCGGAGTCATTATTCGAATGACCCTGTCTAATAGGTATTGATGCAGCGATAGGTGTCACTTTCTGAGGGCAGTGTTCCTGCTGAAATCGCCTATACTTAACAAAAAAACCCCTTCAATGTTTAATAGTCGGTACGGTCAGTAACTTCCATTAAATTGTAACGGGCCTACATGCGCCCTTCTCCGTCAACACACAAAGTCACACAAATGATCTAATTATACTAATAGGCGTGTTCGATCTGAAACCTACTAGCGTGAACGGCCGCGTGCGCATCATGGACACAGATGTTACGCTTTCGCGGCGCGCCTCCTGCTGCTGCAGCGCGATCGCAAGACCTCAGAAGGGACATGTCGCATCTGCCTGCTTAGCCGGGAACCGCGCCGAAATCGATACTGTAGTTTGCCATCAATGCTTTCTCATTTTCGAACCATTTGGATAGGGCTTGCCATATTTGAGATGAACGTTCGTCTAGCAAAAAAATAACTGCGAAAAGCACCCCCCAAAATTTCGTGTGTGAATCTTCTATCTAAGCCTTTCGCTCCTTTCCGTCTTTCGAGCAAGACAGCCAGACAATTAAGCTCATAGTTTATCCCGCATAAAAGTAAGTCTCATGGAACCCATTCCCGAATCGGTCCCCATCCCCCCCTCCCCGGGTAATCGTGCAGGAGAATCGTCGCATCGCGAACATGGCAAAGTTCAGCGACTAATACGGCAGCGCGTGCTATAGTGATTTGCGTCAACTGAAACAATTATTATCCATTTTACGTCCTAACACGGCGCACCATTGCGCTGGCGACTCAATCTTCTGACTGTGCCTTGCCGCGCACCGGCCTCCTGTCGGCTACCCCTCCCCGCTTCAATGTACTCTTGCTACTGTCCTATCGCTATCAACAGCTAAAATAACACAACAAGATCAGTATAGTAATAGCCGATGTCAGGATCCTTCAACGGTTCGAAAGCAATGTTCATTACCAATGCCTTCGAAAGTATCTAATGGCAATTTCGTCATGCTTGTTATGGGAAGCTTCTACTCCGTTCACCCGATAATCAATATGCTTTCACACAAAAAATTCCGCAGAAGAATTGACTTCTTCAAACTTTTCGGTATGTTCCATATCTTTCTTCAGAAACGAGTGTTCATCTCCCCTCTCCCCATAGGTTAACAAAACAGTACTAATCAAACCCAAAATAAATCTCGACTCTTTACCCATGGACTGGTTCAGAATCTTGAAAGCATCGTCAAGTTACAATGAACACGACGTGACTCATAATTAGCTAGAAAACCGAACGTTACCTACACTCCCTTCAACGTATGTATAACATATAACCTCCCAAGGTTTCCTAAGAGGTTCGCTTCGCGCGGTCGAAGTAAGAGACGGATGCGAAAGAGACGAATCGCAGTGCAATCTGTTAGGCGTTTACAGCGTCACCTTTATAATAGAACCACTACAGTACGTAACAACACCGTTCACAGTCTTACGGTCGTGCTCTAAAATTCGACATCTGCTTATCGACTCCGCTTTTCCCTTTTTTTTTTTGCGCTGTTACTTCAGGGAAAAAGAACCTTAGTTTTCTCTGTTTTCAATGCATGCTTCCATTCCCCAATGCGAAAAAACGGTGCTAATGCTTATGATGCTGGGGGTGGGGGGCACGCGCGCTGCCGCGTCATCTTCAGTCTGCTCCTTCTGGCATTGTTCGTGGCCAGGGGGAGTGTACAGTCTAGCGGGGGGGCGGTGGGGGCATCACTTGACATGCTGATTAAAGAAAAAAAATGTTGTACACCGTGAGCATACCTGCCGCGCCGGTTTTTTCCGGTGGTCTCCCCCAACCAAAACTTAAGCACCTTGAAAAACTGCTTTTTTAAGAGTAGACACTGCAGGCACAGTATCCTTGTCCAGCAGCGTTCCTGTCCTCGCAGCTGTGCAAATTTGCGCATCTAACCGACTATCCCAAATGGGCCGATGGTGGCAGACTACTCGAGCACTCCCTCATTCCAGCCTGCCTTCGTTAGTGTATGCGCTGACTGCCGAACACAGGTCATCAGTTTCGTCTGACTTCGATCATTCCACATCTTCAATCAGTAGAGCTATGCTCTAGCTTTGGAGGATGATTTCACGAATAAGGTCGTTGAGGCCGAAGAATAGGGAGCGGGAGCCGCTAAAGTTACGACAGCGACCAAGCAATTCGCGGAAATGAAGGAGATCCTTCCGGCGATCTAGCATTGGCCTCTCCGAGGACGCTATCGGCCGCCATACGCCCATCCACTGCTACCCACTTCTTTTAGCTCTTTCAGCAGAGCGTTACGCTTCAGAGAGAGCAGCACCGATGAGAGTCGCATTCAGCGTCGGAAATGGATTGGCACAGGTAGTGTACCGGTTCATTCTGCGGCACTAAACAGACCATTTCTACATTGTATTCTATTGGACCTTGCCTTCTAACACCATCATAAAACCTCTGCCTTTAATTATGTTATCAAAAAACCTCCAATCTATTGTAAAACCTAATGTGAAAGTGTTAAAAATATTTTACCTTCACCATGTGGTATAAAAACGACGGCTGAGATAATCGATTGATTCTTTTTGTGGAATGGAAATCGATGATGTGATTATCCTTCAGGAAGCTGCCAAAATGCTTGGTCCAGCCAGCTGGTGACGTTGATCATTGCATTAACAAATAAAGTTTTACCTGAAACAGTCACTGCGCACTTTTTACTTCTGCCCTTAATCTTTTTCAGTTTTCTATGTTCTTACTGTAATTTATTTTTTGCCTTCACAAAATTTTCATTTTTGCTTCTCTCTCAAATTTTCGTTGGTTTCTATACACGTTGGTATTTCAAGGTTTGCCCCCGATATCGAGACTTATTTCATATATTGCGCGCCCAACATTAGGATAAACTATTAAACTAATATACTGTAATCCAGTTTGTACTATAATCTCATTGCTTCGTTCTGCTGCAATATCCATCTGTTGTAACAGCTTACTGTCATCCCGGCGCGAGCGGTCCTGCAGTGCGGGCGTCATCCCAAAGCAAATTTCGCTTGTTAAAACCGAGCGACTTGCGAAGTAACAGCCTGAAAGATGCTATGATAATGTTGAGCCGTTGCGGCTAAAATGGGACCGGGTTCCGCTTATAAATTTCAAAGCCTGGTAGACAAATACACCCACACATGCTGTAAGTCTAACTCCAACTGCCAAGTGTACCTTAATTAGCCTTTATTTTGGAGACCCTTGGTCCACTGCAATCCAGTTTACACCAGCAAGGCGAAGAGAATTTGAACCAGAAGTTGTCCATCCAATAATGGACGTTCCGTTCAAGTGCACAAGGGGGTTGCATTTAGTTCGTTAGAATGGACCTACATATTGGAGCCGTTAAAGGATAAACAACTGAAAAATGCATTTTTATAAACATCATTTTCCTGCATTTTTAGTAACTGTGGTACATTTTATTTAATATTTATTCCCATGTTCATTCGTGTTGTATTAATTTTACGTCCCTGTTCCTTTCTTTTGCAAGTTTTTGCAAACTGCTATGACATGGGAGAGACCAGTGGCAAAGCCCGGCACGGCTCAAAAGGTGCAGGATATACACCGCACGTTAGATTGGTTGGGAGGAGGGGAGGTGTTCCGTTAACATTGAACAGGTGGGTTATTCTGCAGAAAATGAGCGTCGAATTTCTGAAGCAGAATAAACGACATTCTTTGTGGCCATCAGAAAAAATCGAACAAAAAATACATGTGTTTGAAAATTTAGTAAAATTGTCCGTTGCAACAGTTCGATACTTCTGTTCGACGTATTTTTGAATTTAAGAGCGGATTAGAAGTGTAACAGATCGGACCAGGTTCAATGACACTTTCGACACTAACCATAACCATCGGAGGAGGCGGAGAAGGGGGTCGTATGTCCGAAATCAGTCGGAAGCCATACGTAGTCAGGCCCTAATAGAGTCCCATGTGAAGGACAAGAAGGGGAAGGGGGAGAAAGGGAGGTCTCATATATTTTAACAATCCCCATGACGCCGCGGCTTATTGTGAGCTTGCAACAGCACGGGTGTCAACCTATGGCGTCAATCGGTTTGCAACAATAGGGGGAGGGGGGGGGGGAAGCGACCGTACTTCCATCTTTCTTCTCTTTCGCTTCTCACGTGACAGGCTAACCGCTCCATGACAGCGCGTTCAATCACCACGTTTCTAGGCTGGACTCTATTTTCGACAACGGTTGTTTACTTGCACATCAACTTTTCAAAACACTTCAAACATCAAAATGAAAAGCCAAAAACATTGCCTTTAATGAATCTACACGATATCCCATGAAGCATAAGTAACAAAAAGTACTCAGCACTGGTACTAGTAGCAAAGACATGCTAATTAGTCCATTCCAACACCACTCTCCATGTGTCCCACCCTCAATCAGTTTAGTCGCTGTTTCGAGGGCATTGGTGGCCGGCCAACTACTCAGAGAGAAAGGGGAAATCCTCTCTGGGGACAACAAGCACGGGTTAGTAATCCACTAAAATGCATACCTCACGAGGAGCCAAAAGGAATAAGAACAATAAAATCAGCAAAACTTCAAAGCATCTAGAAAGTATTTATTTACTTATCTGTTTATTTGTCTACTTAGCTATTGTTACAGCAACTCACAAGAATATTTAGCACATTGGCGACAGCATGACGCGCATGCGCGTCAAATTTACGTGGATTAGGCTCTTTTGTTCATTCTTTGGCGTTTTTCATATTCAAAAGTACGCAACATTATCTTATCTGTAGAGCAGCACAACGCTTACCAGCAGTATGATTACTGTAGGAATAAGAACGATTCTGAAAAAAAATAAGAAGGTGCAGAGCTGAACCCACATCGGGCTGTAGCCAATGTGTTAAGATAGTTTAGAATGTTTGATAACTTACACAATAATCTGAGACAGCTGCACGAAAACGAACTTGTGGGATTAGCGTTAGCGTTCATTTACTTTCCACAATATTATTATTGACAAACAACTTATTACTGTTTACTTATTTGAAATTGCCTTTGAAAAAAAAGTCATACAAATAGAACACGTGCACAAACCTGCGTCGACGTCGATGACGTCGATGACTCACTTCCATCCATTCCAACAATGTCGATGTTACCGGTTTCACCTAAAATACTGCCAAATTATTGAATAATAATTCTCTAAGACATACTGGTCGCCATAGAACAAAACATTGCTGGTCTGCATTGCAAAAGAGGGGGACACTGTGATGGCAATACATTTAAAAACGCTTAAAATATCTGCTTTTTGTTAAAATCGGGACCAAGAATTAGGCGGGGGACGAAAGACTCCGAGATACGCAAGTAGTTTTTCATTTTCCTCACAATTCCTGTCCCCTGCTAGGCTCAGTCCGAGGGGATGGCCCCGCATCTTGCGATAGCGCCCACTGCTCGCTACTCCATGTTCGGGGGTGCCTCCTGAGGTCAGGTCAGCTCAGAAAAAGACACCTGTGAATTACTCATAACAGGCCTAGGATTTAGCCTTAACCTAACAGTAGGCTTTAGCGAAAGGCATAAATCCGAACCTGGCCACAAGCCTTAGCCCAATCCCAGCTTCCAATCATCGCGCAATTCTGGTGACTTGACCTATGCGGAGAACTGAACGTCTCCCCACCTTCGCTTTTCTTGAAACTTTGCCTTTTCGCAGGAAAATAAGCGGAAAAAATGGCGTGAAAAATTCAAACTGAGTCACCGAAATAAGTGCATGGCCATAACAATCTTGGCTTTCTGCCCTTCATTTCTTAATTAATTATGCAATTATGAATAACCGCCCAGTTCACGCCGGACATTTCACATTTTGGTGCTGGTATCTCATTTTTTATTGCTAACTAACAGGAGGCTGCGGGAAACTGCTGGAACAGCAGCTCAGTTATCGTTGGGTCCATTTTGGTTTTAAGCTACTGAGAGCCGTTAAACTATAGCAAGCTTGGGCGCTTCACAGCATGAGCTACACGCTAGAACTCCTACTAGTTTCAAGTCCTGAAGACGACGAATCTCGAAATGTTGACCCAATAAACTGCTCAGTACTCGCTACTGCTGCCGTGAACCGCTGTAAAATCGTGAACCAATAAGTTATTTATTCGATTTATTTATTCATTGAATGCATTCGATGTGTTCCACTTATTGAATGGGCTCCGTCGCGCGTTTTGCATGAATGGTGGGACAAACACTGACGATTAAACGCAGATTAAAGATAAACCGGGCAAAACCTGAATGACAAGTTTCGTGAAAATTTATGAATTTTAGAAGTTCTGTTTTGCTCATACTAAAAACATCCCTTAATTAAATCAATTTACTCTGGCGCTTTCAAAAAATATCTCAATTATCACTCAGAACCGTGACGGCTTTCTAACATGTTTATCTCATTTTTTTATTATTTACATTTGTATTTTTATTTGGTTTTTTTCATAGAGGATTTATATTGCCACTTCTCCAATGTTTTTAATTTGCCCTAGTTACAATTTGTTTATCAATGCTACACATGGGATCTTTATGTAATAAAGAAAATTTTGAAAAATACATAATTAAAATAAACAAATAAATATAATAAAATATATAAATGATTGAGGAGTCTATTCCTGGCAGCATTTGAGAATAGAGAAATGCAGCAACGAGAGGAGAGGCGTACATACTTGGATCTACTTAAAAGGGATCGGCACTGAAATTATATATAAAAGATTGAAAATAAGATGGAAGTAAGATTTTCTGAGGTTCGAGAAAATTTTCAAAAACCAGAAACTAATGTGAAATGCCACGAAGTTTGGAACTGTACCATTTACACAGTCATTTTCCTCTTCCCTGTATGACGGGATCTGTAGAAAATTGACTGATGAGTGGTAATACCATAGAGTAAGAGTACTGTAAGAGGCTTTGAGGGGTAAGGCTCCTGGGAGCTGGACAAGCCTACGTCGAATATCCCTCGACAAGAAGGTCATACTAGGAAATTTTGGCAGAGAAAGAGTTATTTCTTGCAAGTGGCAGAAAATTTTGGGAAAGAGAGAGAAGGGTAAGGAACTAGTTATGATTGAGTTAGTTTAGCCAAATTCTCTCGGACCGCAGTGACCAAATACCCTCACCCTGCCATGTAGACCTCTAAGGGGGGGGGGAAAGAGAGGGAGGGAAAGGCCGTTGGCCGAAAAAAAATTCTAAAAAGCATTGTGTACTCTGGAATAGTTTAACTTATGTAAGACCTGGCAATACTTCAGCTTAAGCTCCACTTACTGCATGAGAAAAACTGGTCACCGATAGGAATCCCGTGAAATACGAAGCCCTTCTATGCCTATTTCAAAGTCTTATCACTACCTTCGCCTGAATCCACCACATCATCAATTCAACTAGGTTTTCTTCGCCTCCTGTTGAATTCAACACCTTGGAATGTCCACTCTATATTCCCTATCTGCCCTGTAACCTTGGAAAATGGATTACCCCGTTTCTTCAATTTTTCGGGCTAAACCATGTCCCCACCGAATAATGGAGTCTAGATATGCCTTGAAGAAGGTTTTCTCAGAAAAGTTATAGGGGAATTTCGAGAGGTATCCAGTATCAACTACACTATCCATCCTTGACGTGACATCTGTGCGGTCTATAAATAAAAGACCAAATGGCGCAGAAAAAACCATTTTGAAAATATTTGTTAATTTGGTACAGGTTTGCGCTTGAAACACAATCAACATATGAAATATTTGCAAAAAGTCCTATGGCCAATAGATGGGGATGGATTCTTTCTGCGAATTTTCCTCGCTACTGATTCCCAAAAAACAACCGAAAATTTTTTTTTGCAAAAACTGTGAAAACGAGTAAAAGACAGGACAGCATACTGCAAACGGAGGCAATCTCTACAGAGAGCTATTTTATATGTTACTGAGCAAGATTACTCTATCTGTTGAATGAAGCCAAGTATTTTCTGCATAGCAACCTTCAAAAGCTGTTGAAAATTCGGTCTCTAGATTTCTACAGCTGATCGGGCACTTTTCTCGGAAAGCCCCGATTTCCTGTGTCCTTTGCACAAACGTACGCGTTCGCTGATCGTCGAAAGCAAATAAGAACGAAATGAAAGCAGAAAAGCGCCCCCAAGTTGACAGACGACAGCAAGTCGCACTCAAGCACCCTGGCACCAAAAACTCTTGACATATCAATGACAACTATGCAGCTAACTGACCAGCTGAGCAGTCGGTCTTCAGCCCATTACTCTCCACGCTGGACGGATTGCTCCATTTTGTTGGCTCCTGTTCATTGTGAGCCGTGGCCGTTGTCTCAAGGGACGGTGGTGCCGGTAGGGTAGGCGACGGTGGTCGCATTAAACCCGGCATCAACCATGTCCAGTGAGGCATGAACTGAGACGGCAATGTTGGACCTGTAACAAAGTCACTATGTCATAACTATTCAACCAAAATATGCAAACTGATCCTTACATGAAGCAATCGGACGCAGCGCGACAGGGCACTCCGGTTGTGGTGCTGCAGGCGCAGGACGTTTACGTGTTGAGCCATGCGTTGGCGGCGCCGGTGGCGGTGGTGGCGCGATAACAGACGCCAACGATGGCGCCGGCGGTATAGCGCCAAGCACCGGTGATGTCGCACCTACGACGCCATTCTGCGACAGAACCAAAAATATGGTCTGTATGCAGGATTTTAGTTGTTGAACCTCGCTGAAAAAATTTATTATTGACGAATTTTCAAGATCTTCTACAGGTAAAAATGGGATTCCTTCTTGAGAACGTGAAACTCACTGGAAGGCGCTTGATTTGGATCGTGAGAAAGAACAGGGTAGGGTCGAGTCGGGCTCAGAGCGGGTCAAGGGACCTGCACTATCGGTTGAACTGGGCTCATCGTCCATTCCGAAAAAAAAAGAAATGGCAAGGGCGTGGGGCAGCAGACGAGCTTGACGGACTACAATGGCAGGGTTACAACCGCTTAATGGTTTGTGTTACTGACATTGTAAGCTGCTGGCGTGATTTCAACGTGAAAAACGTGTATACAACAAGAGGAACACATGACAGTGTAATAACGGGCCAAAAATCTGGCGCGCCGCGCTTTCAACGATGAATGCAACCCGCACAAAGTCGAGAGCGACACAACTGATTTATGAGTCGACAGCGAATTGTGAGAGGTGTAACAAACAACGAGATCACCACCACTAACGCATACGATCACAATGTCGATGAACACACGCCAAATGACGAACAACTGTGAGCATCATCTCAGAAGCTCGTTTCAGCGAACCTTCTTGACACCCTCGCACGGACATACATCTCCAAAGCGCACAATTTAGCGCTGTACTGCGCGCGGACTGTAGCAAAATTATGAGAAACGCACATGGGCGCTATCGCAAGATACGGGGCATTATCTAGGATTACGCCGGGAGTGAGCAGGAACTTCGGTGAAAATGGAAATCGTTCACGCTGCTTGACGTCTCGCCCCCCCCCTCCCCCTACTAAGGCTTAGCTCTTTCCCCTGTGCCTTTATTTTGCCAATCCCAACTCACTGATGAGCTCCGGGGATTGACGAAATAATAAGGTTCGTCTGAGGAAGGAGCGAAACGAACCATTTTGATTATTTCGTCTAATGTTTTTCTCCTTCTTAATTAGCTCTGTTTCAACAGGAAGGGATATGTTTTACGCTGTTTCGAATGCCGCGACCACAATGCCCCCTATGCTGCGATAGCGCCCACACATGCCAAACATATCCTAGTCACAGAGTTTTGAATGAAGTTGTGTTAATGGGATTACTGGATAGTCTGAGCTTCACGGGGCTTATTATGAGTGAATTTGTGAAAAGAGTAATAAATATTATAAGGAAAAATCATTCAATGCTGATCAGTCTCGATTTGAGATGCGCCACGCATTTTACTCCCGTTCGGGAACGTAGTGGCCTTTTGAATGTGACTCGGTCTAACCAGTGAATTGCGGGGCTAGCCGCTGAACAGTTCAGTGCCAGACAGGTCTGGTACCAAGTAACCGACCCTGGAGGGATTGAATCTGCTTGGATTGGTTACCCCATACGACCTACGATCCAGCGTCTGGTCGCTGTACTACGAGCGGGTTAAGCAGCGCCACTTGCCATCGCACTACTTTCTCTGCGTGAACATTTAAATCGACTATAAAAATGAACAGACCAAACCACTAAAAGGCAGATTAACGACAAGTGAGCTGTGAACAAGCAAAGAGGAGAGTGTCGCCAAACTTGAAAAATATTGAACGCAGAAACTCTGACTTTTGGCAGGAAAAACTGAACTGCAAGGGCTGGTCTTTGCCCTGATTTTTTTTCTAATGAGTCCTTCTTCTTCTTCTCTATCGCTATTCGTTCCGTGAATTCCAGAAACTGAGGTCGCACATTGGTGAAACTCCAGTTCGGGGGGGGGCACTCCATTGCTATCTTATCCGTAGTACTAGAGAGCAGTTCTTTGGGCTATCGAACACTACGGATAAGATAATAAGTGAACGACTCATTTCGAGCGTACTTTTGATAGGGACCGATGGATGTCCTACATTCCACACTACCTGCCCACATCCCATCCACTTTTCTGCACAGGTGATCAACTCCTGCACCCTTAGCCCTTTGCTGAGGTGTCCTTTCTCCTGGTCCAGGACCGTTCCCTTGGGTCATGGCAGGCGGAAATGTGAAAACGTTTCAACGTTTCTCACCCATTACACCAATATTTATCAGAAGTCTACTTTAAATGAGTCGATTACGTGTCGTGAGCCCTCTAATCCTTATCTTGAGTACTGGAGAAAAAATGGAGTGGCCCCCCCCCGAACTGGAGTTTCACCCGCACATTTTCAAGCAGCTCTGCTTCGGGATCTTCTGTGCCACAGTCGGCCGGGGGATGTGTCTCTAGGCCTTGCTTTCCCCTTGGATACCACTCAGCCACATTTTTGTCCAGCGATCATCACCTAATGAGCTGAACTCCTTGAAAATATGAGCCAGTCTTCCAGCTGAGAAAGCCGAACAGAACCGTAAAATCTAAAGCGAGTAGACCTCGACTTCTCAGATGGCCTTCAAAATAAACCTTCACAGTTCGTACACAGCTCCATACGGGATGCGTTGCAGTTCTCCTCCTCAGGTCAGGTCATCTCAGAAAGGAACACCTCTGATCTGTTCGTTATTTTTAAGCATGAGCCAGTGTGCGGTTTGAACCTAAGCTTGCGCTCTGCTCAAGTCCAACATTGCGCTCTTGCTTAAGTCTAACCTTAGGCTTCAACCCCCCCCCCTTGCACAGCTCTGGTGATCTGACTTGAGGAGGAGAAGCGAACGTCTCCCCTTCATAAGTTCCTAGCCATAAGAGTGCCCGAATCTCGCTTAACGCACCAGGAACAGCTCTCAACGAGAAAAGAAAATCTTTTTTGTCATCAGCTAGGACATTCAACGTGGTTGTCATCCCAGAGCTAATCACACAGCTTAGTCAGCGTATAACCCTTATTATCGCATCTTTGCAGCTGTCCCTTACGGAATGTATACATTCCACTGAAAACGCTCGTTCTCATCGACTGGAACGCGTCCCAGACGGACGGAAATTAAACGCCACTCGTAGTTGATTAGACTGGCGGCTTCATTTCACCGCGACGACGATCGCCGCCGTCGCCGACGCATTCCAATGAGAGCAAGAGAACGTTGCCCAATGCACAATTAGCGGCGCTCGTTTATCCCTTAGATCTGCCTGCACTCGGACTCCGGCTACCCTTCAAGTACTCTTCCGCTAGGCGAATTCCGATACACCAGCCCTCACTCCGAATTCAGTCGTTGCTTTGAAGCTGAAGTCTGGTGCTTTAGTCGATGCGCCGCCGCCGTTGGCTATCGTAGCGCTCTGCGGGGCGTTTTGACGAATGTTTCCGCCGCGGCGACATCGTAAAATTTCATTGTTGATGTGCCAGCGAGCACTGGCGCCTGCAGTTCACACTCGAAATGCAATATATACAAAGAGTGAGGAGAAATGTGTCCCGCATGGATTTGACCAGCTCTGGTTGCCATGTGTCAAGTTTGAGATATGAGAACTTTGAATAAGCGCGCACGCCCTCGATATTTCTCGCAAGCCCCGAATCTATACTACCGTCTATAAGAATAGCCCAGTCCTATAGCCCTTTGAGCCGGACAGACAGCATTCGGGAACCAGTTCCAGTTCGACTTTAAGGATTATGTCGGCGATACACCTAGGGTGATAATCAGGCTCTCATTACTCGACAGCATATCTGTTCGTCTGTTAATGATTCAGTAAGAGTTGCTCGTAAGAAAATAATGCTGCAAAGTCTACTATACTGTGATAATTAATGAAGCATCAGAACATCCTACTTAAAATCCCATATTAGGCGCTATCGCAATATACAGGGGCATCCTCTAGCACTTTGTCTATTAGGGGTAAGAAACTCGGGCGAAAATGAAAATGGTTTACGCATCCCGGAGTCTCTCCTCCCCGCCTGAGGCTTAGTTAAGTTTTGACAAAAATTTCGTGTTCTACGCGGTTTCAAATGCATTGCTACCACAATGCCCCCGTATCTTGCGATAGCACCAAATATACTAGTCCAGACCCCTTCTCTGAATAGAATTGTTGAAAGTTCTCTCATATCTATTCTTCACTCTCTCATGCTTTTCTTCAAATTATGTCAAGACACATAAAATACAATTAAATTTTTAGATGCTTGAAAAATAAATGCCTTGAAGTCTCAAAATATTGACGGGGGATGAAGACTATTCAAAAAGTCCTCATCTTATAATTCCGGCAGAAATACTCAATTACAGACTATTCATGTTATAAGCGCACCTTTCTGAAAAGGGTCTAAGAAAAGAGGCAATGGTGAAGCTCAAACATTCGACGTCTATGAAACCTTTACGGGATGCGCCATGCATTCGACTTCCATTCAGTATTGTAAGAAAATTTTGATCCATTTGTATGTATCCATGTCTTTTGGTTCGCAATCCATGGACAAATGACTGCTTTCGGCCTGTTAAGGAGCCCTGTACCAACTGATCATGAAGGAATAAAAGGCCGGGTAACCCTTGGCTTCATTGGACTATATGGACTTAACCGCCGGGCTGAGCGCAATATGAGCGGAGCCACTTGCCGCTATCAGAAGTGTGTACAAAAGGCCTAAAAACATTTCCCTTGGCCATATTCATCTGAACAGCAAAAAAGTTTCCGGATTTATTTGTAATTTCGAAAAATATATGAAAAGAAATATAAAAAAAACCGGATAACCCATACATCGAGGAAAGGACGAATTAGGTCCAAACAGCTCACATATTCAAAAACATCTGGATTACTGGTGAATCCAAGAGCAAAAAGGGCGGTCTCCCAGCATCTGATTGGTTGCTTTGCTCACACGTGTACTTCAGCATCATTATTGGATGAAGGACGGAAAATATAATGGAACGGAAGGAACCTGCGTGGCGGTCTAGATGATTACTTAATAATGAATGTCTATATTAATCATCACCAACAAATTGCTGAACGTCTACGTGCCACCAGTGCGTCCTTTACGCGTCATAGGACGCGATATTTTCTATTCAATTATAGCCGTCATAACATCACACAGACCAAGTCGAGCTTGTTCGTCGGCGATTGTTCGCGGAAATATTCGCAACAAAAATAACCATATTGGACAGCTGTTTGTGCATCCGCAGACAATACTTCCGATCTGACACACACGACACGTCATCCCTTCGTGTTCGTCATTTCACCAACGCTGATCCCAAACGGGTGCGTTGTGGTTCTCC